GGAGGAGACACTTTGACGTGAGGGAGGAGACACTTTGATATTAGGGAGGAGACACTTTGACATGAGGGAGGAGACACTTTGACATGAGGGAGGAGACATTTTGACATGAGAGGAGACACTTTGACGTGAGGAGGAGACACTTTGACATGAGGGAGGAGACACTTTGACGTGAGGGGGAGACACTTTGACATGAGGGAGGAGACACTTTGATGAGGGAGGACACTTTGAGAGGAGACACTTTGACGTGAGGGAGGAGACACTTTGACGTGAGGGAGGAGACACTTTGACATGAGGGAGAGGACACTTTGACGTGAGGGAGGAGCACTTTGATATGAGGAGGAGACACTTTGATGAGGGAGGAGACACTTTGACATGAGAGAGGAGACACTTTGACATGAGGAGGAGACACTTTGATTGACGTGAGGGAGGAGACACTTTGACATGAGGACGGAGACACTGATGGGACTCACCGTTTATTATAACCACGTTTATTCCCACTCCAGCGTTATTCAGGACCGACCCCAGGACCCTGAAGACAGTTTGGGACAAGGTTAGAGACACTGAGACAACACCTACAGTTTGTCGTGTTGTTGATCGTATACCTCGCCAAAATAAAAAAAGGTATTTTCAGCTTAAATGAAATACGATATGTTTTTTAAAGGGTGTTTCGTCATATCGCTCACTCATAAGTTGACCAGCTGATGACAATAGTGTAAAGTCAATAGGGTTCTTCCTCTGGGGATCATGAACAGTTTGAGGAGGACGTTTTACGATGCGACACCTACAGTTTGTCGTGTTGTTGAACTTATACCTCAGCCAAAATAAAATCAGTTTTCAAAAGGTCTTTTCAGCTGACGTTGATAGTATGAAGTCAACAGGGTTCTTCCTCTGGGATCATGAAACACTTTTTAAAGACTTGAAAGGAAGCAGGTAGTGTTTACGGAGGACGTATTAGGATCGACACCTACAGTTTGTTCTGGAAGCAGATCTTTGGAGCCACGACGTTGGCGCTCCGCTCTGAAGCAGGAAGCTGAACTGATCCTGAGGACAAGATCTCTGAGAGCAGGGCACCCGCTGACCAGGAAACAACACAACACACCCCACCGTCAGAATACAAGCTCACATTCACAAGGCTGACAGGAAACACACAACCACACACCCCGTCAGAATAAAGCTCACATTACACCAGGCTGACAGGAAACACACAACACAGCCCCGTCAGAATAAAGCTCACATTCAACCAGGCTGACAGGAAACACACAACACACCCCCGTCAGAATAAAGCTCACAATTCACCAGGCTGACAGGAAACACACAACACACCCCGTCAGAATAAAGCTCACATTCACCAGGCTGACAGGAACACACACAACACACCCCCGTCGAATAAAGCTCACATTCACCAGGCTTGACAGAAACACACAACACACCCCGTCAGAATAAAGCTCACTCCTCCAGGTAGCATCTCTCACCTCCAGGTGTTCCTCTTCTTCTTGTTCTGACCAGGACCCCCTCTTGCTGTTTAGAGTAACGCCCGACGCAAGTCCTCTGCAACACACACACACACACAGCACACACACACACACACCCTCACACACCACCAAACACCACACACACACAACACACACACACACACACAACACACAACACACCAACACACCAAACACCAACACCCACAGAAATGCCTTGTTTACGTACAAATAAAAGTCCTATTTCCTGTTGTTATTGTGGGAGGATGAATGTTAAGAATATTATTAAATATAGAAAAAATGAAAAGTAACAAAGAAAGTGAACCTTTGATATCCTGCACTGAGCTACTGTACTCCTGCAGGGAGAGAGTGAGGAGCAAGACGACCGGAACCAGCAGCAGACACCACAGAAACCACCCTGACACACACACACACACACACACACACACACACACACACACACACACACACACACACACACACACAATGTTACTTGTTAGACGCTTTTATCCAAAGAGACTTACATACTCCATACTGAGGACAATCCCCACAGGAGTAATTTGGGGTGAAGTCCACTGCGCCACAGCCTCCCAGACAGACAGACAGACAGACAGACAGACAGACAGACAGACAGACAGACAGACAGACAGACAGACCACACACACACACACACACACACACACACACACACACACACACACACACACAGCACACACACACACACACACACACACACACACACACACACACACACACACACACACACACCACGCACACACACACACACACACACACGCACACTTAATTCTAAGTGAAATCAGGGGAAATCAGATAAATATGCCACTAACAGGTGAAACACTGATCGTGCGTGCGTGCGTGCGTGCGTGTGTGTGTGTGTGTGTGTGTGTGTGTGTGTGTGTGTGTGTGTGTGTGTGTGTGCAGGTGAAAGTATGCACTCAAACACACACAGTGGTTAGAGTGTACATGCAGAGCAGTGTTTCTACATCCGGTCTCTTAAAGGTTTCCAGTGT